GACAGAAAGAAAGTATAGATGTCAAATACAATCAGATGTGTTTGAAAGCTTGCACCCCCTTTTTCCTAATCAAGGGGCACCTGAGGCTTCACCGCCAGTGAAGGGATCAGGTTCACTGGGCACAAATAGATGGACGTTTATTCAAGCAGTTGCCGTCATCCCAGGCCTTCGCATCTGCCAGTACACAAACAAGAAGGGGAGTTAGTGAATTGAACACAAACCAATCAAACTTGTCAAAACGACTAAACAGCACCAACACCAGTATAAAGTGGATGTAATGGCTCAACACCTACAAGAAACACTGTGTTCTTTTACCTCCAAAATTCATTTGAATGCAATGCTGGTGACCCGCCAAGCTGTTAGGCTCTCCATTGGCCCAATTCGTGTAGTCAAATCTTGTCCCATCACTCCAGAACCATTGCTTCTCCTGGAGGAAAACATTTGAGTTAGTATGAAATAATATATAATACAAGGTGATTAAAGAAAAAAATGTAGATATGAGTAGATGTTGCATGAATAAAAGGAATTCAAATGTAAAACAGAATGAGTGCAATATTTGTAAGTAATGGTGAATAAAATACCTCTTGTGCATCAGAGCCTCCAATCCATGTAGTCGGATGATGGAAACTGGAGCTTATGATGGCTTTCTGAATATCATGGTACTCCAGGACGCTGTGAACAGATGCAAGGTGTCCACCCAGAGAAAGACAGTTTTTCTACAGAGAGGAGACAGACCGATGTATTGGGGAGGGTTTGAACCAATTTACTCTTGAATTTAAAATCAGTGATACATTATGAATAGTGATGGGCAAAGATAAAAAAAAATGTAAATGTGATTAACAGCGATTAATCGCAATAATGCGCAAAATCCAATAATACATTATAAATGTGTATTGCACGGTTTTATTTTAAAGTAACGTTATCAGAACAATATAAGAGCCACTCTCGGAGATCCTTTTCTTTCTGAACAGGTACCAGAAGAAAAATTATTCTTTTATCAAGGATCAACATAATGCAGGATATGTTCAGTAGTACGAGTCCCTGTTAGTGAGGTAAAGTGCTCTAGCATAAAAATGACATTTTAATCAAATAAAAAAGCAACTTGTTTGATGCTGGTTGAGCAGTTACACAATGAGGCAATTGACTTTTAATGTCCTCTTTTTTATCCGTTCCTCCGACTTTACATTTTCTTACTCCTCTGCACCGAGCCAGCTGCTAAGACACACAAGGACACTTTATTCTTCTTGTGTTGGTTTAAAAATTGTGTTAACCCATGATAAAATCGTTGTCAGCGTTAATGGATTGCTTCGTTAACTCATTTATAATGTGTTAACGCGCCCAACCCTTATTTTGAGATGAGTTTATTCATTTTTCCACATCTCAAGGTAGTTGGTTTCCAAAATTTCATTAGAATTTGTGTCATATTTAGTGTTAAAAGACTAACTAGATATGTAAACAGAGAGAGTCTGAGTACAGCGTATACATATATTTTGGTAGACTTCCATTTCTGTTCATATAAAAGGGCAGACTTTACCGAAGTTAAGTAGCAGTAAAGATTCTGAGAGCGATCCAAGTTAGTTGGCTGCAACTTCATGTCTGTTTTTAATATGTACAAAAAACTAGTCAACTGCAAACATTTGATCAAAGTCACCAGCATTACCTCAGCTTTACCCCAAGTCATCTCTCTTGGAATGAAGCGGAAACAGCGACCGTTATAGCGAGTGGGAACACAATAAAGACCGCTTGACCAGATGTCGCTCTGCAGAGAGAAATAAAGTTTAATGTGGAGTTTTCTGTATAACTTTTTGTAGCCGTGATAGCGCTACCACCGGCGGGTTCTTGTAAAGACGCACGGACACAGGATGAGGGTAACCAGTCTTTATTGTCCAACAGGGGAAGGCAGTGAGCAGGAATGAGTTCGCTCTATGTGCGTGGTCGGTTTCGCTTTGTCCGGCTCCGCTCAGCTCTCGTGCTTTGCTCTCAGGCTCCACTCCGCTCTGCTCGGCTCACGTTCCCCGACCTGGATCCTGCTCACTGCTTATGTAGGAGACAATCAGTGCAGATCATTTACACCTGGTTACTCCTCACCTACCAGCACCGTCCCCTGAACCGCTCCCCCGCTCTCCCCCCTGCAGCTGAGCTAACCACGCCCCTCCACCACACTTTTATATTACTGTATTAAACTGATTTTGATGGTGGGTAAATGTCATTACGCAATGCAAAACAAAGGATTATGTCCCTACACAACAGTGAATCCAAATATCTCAGTGAAAGCTACTCACCATTGGGTTCTTCTCCAGACATTTCCTCTGGGAGAGCTGTGAAGTTTTTGACCTAGATTAATGCTATTCAATGACAACAAATGGATACGTACCAGTTACTACATCTAATACTCACCAGCAGCTCCAGTCAGAGCCATGATGGCACACAGAAGGGCAGTCACAGTCAGCGTCTTCATGGTGAAGGCAAAGAGATGATGCAGATGCTGGAGATGAAGACCACCTGTAATACAAAGACAGATATGATTACTCATACTTGTGAAGAGGACAGAGAAACATACCAACAGTCAGACCTTAAAGTCAAAGGTGAGGACGTTTGCGGCAAACCTGATACTGACGTGTGTCAATCAGCCGTCCTGTGATGAGGTGAAGAAGGAGAGGAAGCCATAAATACTCTCCGTTATCTCCTCATCTCTCACAGAAGAGGGAAGTGAGGACAGATGTGTGAGGTGTGGCTGTGGTGATGAGACCGTCATGCTGGCGCAAAAGAAGGTTTTTCTAGCTATTTTTTGATGCAGACAAGACAAAGAATACAGACTGCGCTTTACACAATAAATGACCACCTTTACACAATAAACCGTTATTATGCAATAGCACATTCACTAGATACTAGTCCAGGACGATTAAAGGTATTACTGCTTTCTGTACAATAATGGAGAAAAACACATTGAAGTTTTCAATGTTTCAAGGAAAAATACAACTTGGAAAAGTACATTTTTTCCAGATACTCATGTACAGCAGAACTTTAAAAAAAGTAATTAATTAATGGGTAACAATAGAACCTAATGAATGAAGAAAAAATAACCGTGATTAGTGAAACTATGTGCAACACCGCGTTTTCTACTTCCTGTTCCACGTACCAGGGTGAATTTGGCTGCAAGAACCTTGTTCATTTCTTCATCACCCCAAAAATTAAGAGGTACTTCCCTACAATAAACCAATCATGCTGGACAAGATGTGGGGAAGAAAGAGCAAACCACTGCCATATACAGTACGTTGGGGCTGCCCCAAGATGCAAATATTCTGGGGAATATTTGGAGATCTATGCAGCATATCCCTGGGCAGCAGATCCTATATGTATATAATAAACAAAAACAATCAATCCATTAAACGCTCTAAACTAAAGTGAGGAGCTGTGGAGCTGTAAACAGCACAGGGCCAACTAAGGAGACCACAAGGTGGCAAGGCCAGAGCAAAAACAGTGACCTGGGAATCCTGGGGCGGGTGTACAAGGCAAAAAGGACATGCCACACTGGCACAGGACAAGGGGAGACAATCAGACCGGTGACACAAGAGGAAGAGCAAGGAACCTGAAACGAGAGGAGAGTTCATTTCCAAAATAAAACAGGAAGTCACAAAACAAGCATGGAGACTGGACAGAAACCCAACTTGACATACAGGATATATGGAGATAGTGTCATACCTGTATGTTTCTTCTAGTATCAAATCTTCTCCCTGCAGTTTAGAGTTTCTGAAATATTGTGTATTCTATCGAATCTTTACATTTTCCGAAGATGATATCTGTTAACATGATATGTGCCATATAGGGCATGGCTCCTCTGTGCAAGGCAGGACCTGACGTGGAGGACAAGGAGACTCCGTATGTAGATAGGTCTTAATCTGCAATTGTACTTTTCTTTACTGTTTTCTTAAATTGAATAAACTACTAACACATTTATTCATTGTCATTGATTGTATATGACTTTTACTGATAACATAATGTAATATAGCCAGGACAGCCTTACAGAGTCGCAACGCTTTGTGTTGCGTTGCTTCGCGTCGAGGTCTGTATGATCACAAAATTCAGAGTTTACCCACCTCTAATTTTACCACTACAGCACTGGTCATACCTGTATGTTTCTTCTAGTGTCAAATCTTCTCCCTGCAGTTTAAAGTTTCTGAACTATTGTGTATTCTATTGAATCCTTACATTTTCTGAAGATGATATCTGTTAACATGATATGTGCCATATAGGGCACATTTGGACAATAATGTCTGACTTACAGCTTACAGAAAGTATTACATATTATCTATGTTGTTTTACTCTGGTAAATCTCAAGCGGCGCAGACAAAACTAGTTGCAAATATGGTAAAAATACAGCATTTGATTCAAGCATAGATCAAGGAATAATATTTGAATAGAATCCCATCTCCTTTTTAGGGTATGAGGAAATGAGTTTGTTTTATTTCTTTGTTGAATGTTGCTTCATTTGACTTGGGGGGGTATGACTCACCAATAAGAGTTGTGTCATGAAGATGTGGTACAGGTTAACAGCCAGTCATCGGTCAAGACTCGTGATACATCAGTCAATGCCCATATAAAAGGCATAAAGCCTTAGGATGAAAATCCATTTAAAGATATTTTAACCTTAAAAACTTCATCATCCCTTTATCTGTTACAGTTCCTTCATTTGCCACATGTCTGGTTTGAATTGATCTCTTAACTGAAGATAAAGGTCCTTTGGGAGTGAAAAACAAATTTTAGTTTTCATTCATTTGTCATTTTTTAATGCATGCATTGTTATTTTGATTAAAGTTAAATGACTTTCCAGATGTGGAAGTAAATCAGTATTGATCTTATTAGTTTGTTAGAATGTAATAAACATTGTTATACTTTAAAGAGCAGTTTGCATGATTACTTTGTCCGTGTATAATATGTCTATAATGCATACAGTGCTGCAAGTAGTACGATGGTGGTGGAGTCTGATGGTGATGTAGTCTGAAGATACCTCAGCTTGACTTCTTTTTAAGGCTTCCTCAGAGTCTTGTGGCTCTCGAGGACCTCTGGGGCAGCGAAATACAGCGGCTGTGGTGATGTGACAGTCATGCTGGCAACATTCAGCGCAACAGAAGGTCTTTCTAGCTCTTTGATGCAGACAAGATAAAGAATACTGACTACCTAAATGAGCCCCTTTACACAATAAACCGTTGTTATGCAACAGCACATTGGCTGAGTTCTTTTTTTGGTATCAGCATCTTTGTTCAGAGATTAAAAGAAACGGCTCAACGTCAGTATTTGGAAATCTGCTGGAATAAAGAATGTAGCCGGGCGTTTATTCATTATTTATTTATTAAAAGGTTAATAATGAAAAAACCAAACACGGTGCTCCGTTTCTGTGCCAAAGTGGCAGCCACTTTATTTTCACTCAAACTCCTCCTAAATACCCTTTTCCATTCCTCTCATTAAAATAACAGTTAGATTCATCAAGTTAATTCCCTGTGACCGTGATTTCATTTTTTGGCCGTTTTTGGTCATTTTCGGTGGCAATCGCTGAAAAAAGGCCGTCAACGCCGCTAATGACCGGTTTCGGGCAATGCGAGCTTCAGCAACCAATTTGGACCGCCATTTAGCTGAAGAAGACAAATCAGGTGGACGTCATGAGCAACGTGAATGAATGATATCATGCAAGGAGATCTGGGATGTTGGTTGATAACGACATGAGACATATTGATGGCTCGTACTGACATGACCCTTCATCTGGGCAGTACATAACTTATAATATTAATATTGTCCTTTTTTTTTCAAGCTTTCTACAGTCCCCAGTCAGTAATTAAACGTTATTACATTATAGCTTTGTCCATAATTGTACGATTCATATCCTACAGCCTCTAATGAGAAAGGGGGATGACGATTTGCATACAAATGAAGGCACATTTCTACTTTTCAATCTTGCTTTTCGGATGGTAAGATCGCACTCGGGTTATGCAGATTTGGAACATCTTGTGAGCTGATCGCAAAACCTGAAAGCAGCCGGAGTCCTCTGAACAGTGTTGTGCATCTGGATTCACCCTGAGAGGTAATTTCGGAGCCCGAAAACAACAGCTTATAAAGGCTAAGCAGCTCAACAGACAGGAAGGACATATGCTATGTGTTCAGTCTGATTGTGTATCAAACTGTGGAAAATGCTCTGCAGGGCTATGACGATATGACCAAGTCTCTGACTCCATGGAATGTTGCATTTACAAGACTATGTGGGTTTAAGGGCAGAGCGAGGCTTCCGAGGCACTAGGACACTCAGCCCGTCTTCAAAGGGCCATGAAGCACAGTGAAAAGTGAACTGTACATAGGAAGTGCACAGGGAAGACTGTCACGGGATGCAGACCACAGGAGCCAATATCGGGTAACCACATTTATTAGAGCACCAAACAGACGGATCACGCTGTGAGTCCCGTGGCTTGACACGGCAGGCGGGCAGGTAGGTGACGGTGCAAGTGCCGTGGCTTGAGACTGGAGGAAGGTGGAGTACTTCTTTGGGGAAGAAGACAAATCGGAGTGACAACCCTAAGCCAAGGACAAGGGTTGAAATACAGCCAGTGACGAGTCTTCATCGGTCGCCGCTGTGTACCGCTCAAGAATGTGAGCATGGTGGAACATGAGGGAAGGACCGGGGGGGGGAAACAGAGGACTTTGTTTGACAAACTCAGTGGTCAACTGTTTGGGGTATCTCTTCCAGTATGCAGGGTTTGACAATGTGAAGATACTAACGTTTTATTTTCTTCATGGTTTGAATGAAAACATTTTTATTTTCATTGCTATTTTCTTTATAGCAGATAAAAGTAGGTCTACAATGTAGCTTTTCAGCACAGAAGTACTGGAGAAGTATGTAATGTTAACATATCTCTAACCAATTATTGTATGGCAGTTGGAAATTAACTAATGGTACTACATATTTACATCCAGTGTTGTCCTGCTGCCCAAAACAGAGCTTGCCCTCTTAAGTTCTTTGTTCGGTCCCTCTGTCCACTTTCCCAGCAGTGTATAAAAGACTTCTGATGCCACTAGTGTTGTAAACATGTCCTGCTCACACTGAAGGATATTTGTCTCCTCAGGAAATAAAGACAGCTTTGGACTTATTTGTACAGCACACATACATTTCTTGAGTATGGTTTAGTGTTTGGGTGAATGTGGCGGCCGGCAGTCGTGATGATGGTTTGGTAGCTTGTAGTCAGTACATGAATGGGTGAGAATGACGTGTTGAAGCACTTTAGTGTCTGGAATATTATTATGGCGACGTTTAAGCACAGGTCGTTCCACAGGTCCAAACCGGTACAGGCCGCAGCATCTTCCTACTTAAGTCACCAAATTGGTTCACTTTTGACATCCATTGACGGCGGTATCAGAGAACATCTGGAGGGAAATGTTGTAGTTAGGTCTGAAATCAGATATGAACCCACCATTTAAATAAAAATGTGACAGCTTCAGGACCAAAAGTGATAAAGTGTTATGAACTGGCATGATTAGCGAATTAATTGAGGGAGGAGCAAGGCATGCGGTCGCATTAACCATCACCACACCCTATACTTCACTGTGGAGCTCTTCTATCAACTGAATGAATAATACGAGGAGGGAATTAG